CTGGTTCACCTGTTTGTTGCCGACCCGAATACAGGCGGAATGTTCACACATGTCAATATGGAGCGAACTAAAGAAAAGGTGTGATAAGTCCACACCATAAAAGCGTCCTGAGAAACTTCTCCATCTCTGGCTCACTATTTGCATCGCGTGTCTGCAGCTGCACTGTCTCAGACTGATGATGTTTAATTAGCCACTACTGCGATGTTTTTATTTGTACGTCTCTATTAATATTTATATTAGTTATACTGTGAAAACGTTTAATTCTTAGATTTTTAATTATTAAGTTAATCAATTTTCCATGTATGTTTTTTGACTTACCGTGATGTTACCGGCCCAAATTACTGCCTCCCTCTGAGTACAGGCCTTCAGAGGTTGAGAAACCCTGTCTTATTTGCTGTTTTTGTAGTATATCATGTACTTGGATATCATCCACAGCTAGGCCAGGCTTGGCAGACTAAACCTTTACTACATTCTGTTGGCAAATCTCTTTTTACCTGAGTTAATGTCTGCAAAAGTGGTTTCACTGAATTGGTTTTGACATCTCTGACTAAAACTAAAAGTACCACCAAAAGTTTAACAGGTTTTCCCCAGGTCACGTCTGGCCCTGCAAGACTTCAACATTAGCCTAACATGAGCAGGAGAACATGAGCCAGCAAAGTATTAGACTAGATTCACAGTTTGCACACATTTGCATCGTACATTTTCAACTGAATACAGACTTTTTTTTTTTTAAATCATGTTGTTTTCTACACCTCTAAAGTTCAGTCTTAGAAGTTGCATTTTCTGCTTCTCACCATCCAAGTTATCCCAAATACATTAAATGAGGTGGTCAGTTCATTGTTCTGAGAACACCAGCAGCTTCTTTGTTTGATTTCCAGATTTTTCTCTAATTCTCGACCTCAGTGAGGCTTCTTGACAGCTACACATCCTTTCAGACCCACAGCATTGAGTTGTCTTCTCACAGTGGAAAGACAGACAGAAACACCTGTGGATTTTTTCAGATCTGAAACAACAGTGGAGCTTGATTTGCCATTTTACCAGGTCCTGCACGGTTGTCTTTAAAAAAAAAAAATGTGCTTTGGTTTTGGAAACACCTGTTTTTTTCCTTTTCTTGGTTTTTCCCTTCCTTATGCAAGTGGATTGTGTTGTATCTAATATAGAAATCTATTTTTAAAAAGCGAAAGGGCTGTCGTGGTAATACTTGAAGATGGACAACTGTTGTTTAATGGCTGATTCTAAAATCGGATAAGGCTTATGTCACTAGCTGTTGATTGAGTGAAGGCAGGTCCAGGTTGTGCCCCTTTGGTAATTATTTTGCCCCCATGCCTAATTAGTGCTGCTGTCAGGCCCGTGTGTATGTGGGTGGGTGTGTGTTCAGAGTCAAATGAAAGGTCGGCGGGTGCTTGTATCAATCGCGCGAGCGTATTTTCATGCGAACAGGCATCATTACGCGGCAGTGTTTGACATTGCCGTGATGTTTTTACTGTCTCTCGTTCTCCTCCGTGGCCCAGCGGCCAATTAGCGGGGCGAGAGAGCCCGGCTTAGAGTAGCACTCACGGACATGCTAGCACCCCTCAGCCAAATCAAATTAGCCAGCCTCCTCACAAATGAGCAGCGCAGTCTATTACCAACCACTGACACCATGACACACACGCACTCTTGTATATATCCTCTCTCTCTCTCTCTCTCTCTCTCTCTCTCTCTGTCTTCTCATTTAGTTATTCAGAACATTCCCCCTCGCTCAGAGAGATGTAGGTTGGGATTAAGCTGAGGGCCGAGGGAAAGTGCCAGCTTTGTGTGTGTGTGTGTATGTGTGCACACATTATGTATAATTGGATTGGATGGAGAGCTCAGAGGTCAGAAGTGTTTTTTGTGGAGACGCTTGCTCTGCGGTCAGCAGAGGTCAGGAGGCTTGACCTTGGACTTGTCTGTTTCTTCTGTCTGCCGTGAAGGGCCCTTAACAAGACAAGGCCAAATCCCTCAAAGACAGCACACTTCATTTATTCTTATGAATACAAATATAACATAAATAATATGCCTCCCCGCTCTCACTCTCAACCTCTCTCACTCACTTTCTCTCTCTCTTTCTCTATCACTCTTTCTCTCTCTCTCTCTGTCACTCTCTCCTGCTGTCTTTCTCTTTCTTGCTTTCACTCTCTATCCCCCTCTCTCTCTCTCTCTCTCTCTCTCTCTCAGTGTCTCTCACTCTCTTAAGAGTAGGAGGTCTCTGTAGGGTCTCTCTTCTTCCTCTCTCCTCCTCCCTTTCTCTCTTTCTTTATCTCTTTTACTCTCTCTTTGTGTCTGTCTTTACTCTCTCTTCCTTGTCTCTCTCTCGTGCTCTTTTTCTCTTTCTCACTCTCATTCGTTCTTTTGTCTTTTTTATCTCTCCATCTTCTGTCTTTCTTTTGCTCTCTGTCTTTTTCTCGTTCTCTCATTCACTTTCTCTTTTTCTGTCGGTCTTTATCTCTTTCTTCTCTGTCTCTCTGTCTCTTGCTCTCGTTCTCTCCTTTTCTCTTTTTCTCTTTTTGTCTTTTTCTCAGTCCCTCTCTCCTCTCTCATGCTCTCTCTCTCATCTTATTCATTCTCCACCCCTCTTTTCTTCTTTCTTTCTTAATCTACCTCTCTCTCTATCTCTCTCAATCTGTCTCTCTTATACTCTCTCTCACTCTCTTTTTTCCCGTCACTGTTGTCATCTCTCTCACACTCTCTTTCTTTCTCTCTCACTCTCTTTCTCTCTCCCTATCACTCTCATCCTTTATTCCTACTAACTCTCTCTTTCTCTCTTTCTTTTATCCCTATCACTGTCTTCATCTCTCTTTCTCTATTTCCCACTTTTCATCTCTTTCTTTCTCAATCCATATCTCTCTCTCTCTCTCTCTCTCTCTCTCTCTCTCTCTCTCTCTCCAGGCTATGTAGGATATGAGATATGCATTTTTACTTCCCTCACAAATGAGCACATTCCAGGGGCTATTCTGGCTCAAATAAATAAAAAAATAAATTAATATTCACATAAAAGTGTTTTCTTAGAGTCTAATAAAAGACAAGTGTGTTCCAGCGCTAATGAAATACAAGAGCAGGTACAAATTGGGCTGAAAATCAAGTTATTTGAGAAGATATCAGCCGAAAAATATGCCAAAACTGACTCTACTTGGCACGTCTTTTGAAGCAATAAGAAAAGAATCCCGCAGGTTTTTGATTTTGTAAATAGAAAATGAATTCAACTCCACTGATAAAGCGTCCTGGGTGAATTGGAAGCGTATCGAATCCGTCTTCTCTTTTCATCGATTCGTTTGCTTTGCACAGGCATTAGTCCCCTGTTTGAGTTTCTGTTGAGGGGGGGGGTTGTGAGTAATGCTGTGTTACTGTAGGATAGAGTTAGGGCTGTGTCTGTGATTAGGTTTGTGCGGAGAGCTTCAGAGCTAATGTAATTAAGCTGTCAGTCAAAAGGCAGGGGCGTGTGGCTCAGCAGCGCTGTCAGTGCTCAGGCCACTGCACCATAGCATGGAAGAGGTAAAAGAGAAGTTTACTGAAGGAGAAAGACACAATGAGATGCCTCAGTGAGAAGGAAGACCTAGCGCTAATGAAAAACATGTCACCCATATCCAGCATTAACAACAGCTACATTTCACCATTGCAGATAAGTTAACTCTTAGATGTCTGGTCATTGTCATTTTGCTTCAGTATAGCTTGATTTAAAGCTGCACTGTGTAAGATTTGCAGATTTGGAGACCTCTGTGGTGGAAATGTGTAACTGCATGCAACAAGAACATTTTGTAACGTAGATTGTTCTTCAGACCCCCACCAGCAGATGAGTCTGATGAATATGAATGTGTTGAGGGAGTATTTAACGAGAACTTAGTTAAAACTTGGTCAAGGATGTGTCTTCCAAAGATGTGATTGAAGATAATTCATTGTCATCAAATCTTCAGTAGTATAATGTTGATTTTGTATTTGAGATCTAAACGTCGAGCCAACTCTTTTTTTTTGAGCCTGTGCGTGACGTTAATTCTTAAGAATGTTTAACGTGGTCCAAAAAAGCAGAGAAATCTAACCCAACATATATATATATATATATATATATTTTGATTTTCCCCCCAATTTTCTCCCCAATTTAGTCATATCCAATTCCACCCAATAGTTAGGGCTCCCCGTGTCACACGATACCACCACCATCACCTAAAAGAGCGAAGGCTAGCACAGACACAAAACTTAAAGCTGATGATATTGGGAATGCACATGCCTGTTAATTGCCAGTTTATTCAGCCTGTGGGATCTCGCTTATTTGAGCGTATGTTATCTCTCATCCTGCTATGGAGACAAAGGATGGATGACGACGGAAGTTCTACCACCTAAACTAGGGGAATTTTTGAGACTCTCCCAAAGTATCCATTATCTCATGATTTTGAGAAGTGTTTAATATGGATACACTCACTAAGAAATTAGATACATCAAGCACCATTGGTCAAAACCCTTTTGTCCCAACACGAGGCGACATCTGACTGGAATACTCAACAAACAACGACCAGTGAGTTTGGTGAAAATTTGTAGGTAATTCTAAGAATTGTCAAGAAATTACAAAAACCTGGCTTGATGTTTTTTCTGCTGCAAAATAAAAAACAAGAAGCTTTCAAATTACAATAAAATCAATAAGCTAGTGAGAAATAATTAATGTGAAATTACGTCAAGCTTTTTAATGCTCACTGAATTAGAGTTCTTGTATTATTACTTGTCTTTCTCTCTGCTGTGATTTAAATGAACATTTAGAAATGATTTACTTGAAATGTACTTTTCTCATTACATTTGCGTTATTTTTGATTTGTCTATTTAATTAATGAGCTTCTCAGACTGAAGGCTGCGTTATCTGAATGGACATTAACTGATGGAGTGATTTTATTTTTTAAGGGAAGCTGGCTAAATAAAAAGGCCTGAATGCATGAAAGGTGACTGAATGGATGACACAGCATATAGATTCCCTACTGATGGTAGTGTTTCATTTTCAGGTGGTGTTCGAGGGTATCCGTGGAGACGGTTTTGAGGGGGACATCGCCATTGATGATGTTTCGGTTACCAAAGGGAAGTGTACACAGGAGAAACTGCCTGCAGCAGGTCAGTACATCATCACTGAACCAGAGGAAGAAACATCAACAGTACAATTCTGACAGCTGCAGCTGTAGCTGTTATAACCTGTTTAACTCAGGTTTGGAGATTTAACAAGATAGATGATCAATCTAATTTACACAATTTTCTCCTTACCCCAAGTGTTGTCAATCAGTCAAGACATGTTTTGTGTCTGAAGCTTCTTTGGTTTTGCACTGGAGCTATGAGGCTAAAGGTGCTAAGAAAAGCTTATGACCACCAAACAGCACGATTAAAGCGTCACACAATTACCTACTTTCAGTTGGGCATTCCGGACTAACACTAGCATTTGTGTTATTTGTCATGTTGCGTAACATTCTGTAGCACAGCATTATCTCAGCCTTATTGGTTTGACAGAATTCACAACTTTACATCCTTTTTATGTTTTCGTTTATCAGTGTTCTCTCACTACAATACCCAGCATGCATTATGCAAATGCATCATACAGCCATTGGGAATTCACCCCTCGGCAATAAAGAAATCCACTGATGTGCCATTCATTTAAAGGGTAATAAATACAGACACTGTATTCGGCTTCCTAGCAGTAACATTAGCTTTTCTGGCTTCTTTCTGCATTCACCAGCTAGCGGAATATAAGAGAAAAAGACATTTCAAACAGCCCGTTCTCATGCACCCACCCCCAGGCGCTTGTAGTTTTTCAAAAGTTCCTCCTAACTTCAAGATTCATATGAAGGAGGCTTTCCTTTTTCATTTTGGCCAGAGTGCTCATTTAAATAGACTTGCTCAGACATGGAAAAGTATGTTACATAGCTAAAAACAGTAGTAGCAACTAATATATATATTATATATATTTATATATTTATATATATATATATATATATATGTAATCTGCCCAAGGGTGCTTTTCCATATGACTGTATATGTCATACTGTTTATTATGGTTCTGGCTTATGCTAATTGGTGGTCATAAGTTTCCATTACTCATCCATCACCATTTCCATTACTGTTCTGTAAATTAGCCTCATAGTTCCAGTGCAGAACTAAATCAGCAAACTTCGGACCAAAAACATGTCTTTGCTGATTCGCCACCTGGGAAAAAAAAAAAAAATTTTTTGCAGAATTATTGCTATAAGCAAGTGAGAGAGCAGGAAAGAAAGTGAAAGAGAAAGAGATAACTGGAGCATAAAGAGAGTAAAATGGTGAACCAGCAGTTTTTTTGTTGCTCAACTCAGCTAAGCAATATGATGTGGTAGTTTTGATTAAGTGCCAGCCATGTCAGTAAGAGGGAGAAGCCCCTTCTGCGTGGGGGCTGCTGAGGCAGCTGTAAACGCAGCCAGAGCCACTGGGGCCTGGGCCTGTGCTGGCAGCTCTGCCCCCCTGCTCGCCCCAGGGAGGACCCCACGCCACAGCAGAGCCATTCCTCCTGAGTGCCAATCTTGGCACAGGATGGCTATGAAAACGGGCACAGCAACAGGAAAAGGGCCCATGCCAGTTCTCTGAGAGAGCAGGCAGCCAGCCAGAGTGCCATCGTCATCCATCACATTCACATCTTGAAGAGAGAAAACCTAATTTTTGCACGAAAAGGGCTGCCCAGTGACAGCACTCATACCATTTCTCTGCTTACATATTGTCATATTGTAAATTAGTAAAAATTTTAGTATATATTAACTTATACATCACAGCTGACTCTTTCGCCAACATTCATCAAAATGGGCTTTAATATGCTCCAATACAGTGCCCATTTACTGTAAAGCAAAACCACATCTGTACATGAATTTATCATGTGAATGATGATGCATAAACATATGCACAGTTAGCATTTTATGATATTGTATTATAGCCCAAAATGCCCTACGGTTGGTGCAAGATGACCTCCTTCTAAGGGAATGAAGCCTCTAAGGAGAATCCTGAATTAATTGTCATCTGCTTTTTAGAGGTGAAGCACCTCAGGGACCTGGCTTTCAACTCACTCACGCACTCATGTTTAGCAGGCTGAAGGTTTTCCACAAGGGGGAGCTATTAGCACATAAGTGCACTGTTAGCCCTTAACTCTTCATGCTTCATAAGAGCTTCGAATCACTGAAACTGTGTGCCCTTGTTACAGTATAGCACAATAAACACAACATAACATAAATAACATTCTAATCAATAACATTAATCATTTAAACCAATCACTATTAAAATGTTATTGATCAGAAGTCTGTATTTTGAATGTTTGCTCATGTTTGCTCAGAAGCTGTCACAGTGCATCCAACAGCAAAGGCAGCATGGAGCTTCTTTCACAGTGATAGCTCTATTTCCACACGCTGATCTATTTTAATCAAATAATGATAATAATAATAATACCTTTATGTAGGCCTTGCTTATTTCAGCAAGACAATGTCAAACCACATTCTGCATGTATTGCAACAGCATTGCTCTATATTAATAGAGTGCAGGTGCTAAACTGACCTGCCTGCAGTCCAAATCTGTCACCCACTGAAAACATCTGGCGCAATATTAAATGAAAAATATGACAAAGGAGACCCTGAACTGTTGAGCAGCTGAAATCCTATATCATACAAGAAGGGGAAAACATTTCACTTTCAAAACTACAGCAGTGTCTCCTCAGTTCCCAAACGCTTACAGAGTGTTGTTTAAAGAAGAGGTGATGAAACACCGTGGTAAACGTGCCTCCGTCCCAACTTTTCTTTAACGTGTTGTTGGCATTAAATTCAAAATGGCCATATATTTTTAAAAAACAAAAACATTTCTCAGTTTCAACATATGATATGTTGTCTTTGTAGTATTTTTCTTTAAAATATAGTCTGTATTAGGGGTGCGGGAAAAACTTGATTCTTAGATGCATTGCGATGCGGACGTGAACGATTCTGAATCGATTCATTCAACGTCAAAAATCGTTTTTCTAAATATTTAATTTATGTAATGTTGACAGAACGCAAAAGGCTGAACTGGAAGTGGGTAAGTGCAGCGCCCGGACAGTCTGTGGTGGCACATAACAAAAACACTACGAGAAAGGAGCGAGAAATCCAACGACACCCTCTGCCTTAAAAGCCAGGTTAGGTCAGGAGTCGCAACACAAATGATAAGAAGAGCCATTTTGTCCTTTCAACGAAGTCAAACCACCTTAGGAGCCACAACATTTAATGTCCAGTATGTCTCAGTATGTGATAATGTCCTAGTATAGGTTAAAAATATGAACGAGAGCGCAGATTTACTTCGCTCTGCTTTAAGCTTTAGCTATAGCCGCTTTCCTCCCATCTCCGCCAGAAAACGAAGACTTCGGTGCTATGTGACCTGCTGTCTGCTGTCTGTTCTCAGTCATTGAGAACCGGGGCTTTCGCGCTATGCTGCACACTTTGGAGCTGAGATTCAGCGTCCAGCCTCGAAAATACCCTCCCCCCACACTCTCTACAATGAGACCAAAACCGAAGTTATAAAATCACTAAAGAAAATGGGAAGGATGGCTGTAACGCGCAGCGTGGACACCCATTACCACTGGATCTTATTTCAGGGCAACAGCGCATTTTATTGCAGATGAGTGGCAGCAGCGTCTCTGAATGAGAGCCTTCTAGTTCACTTGCCACATCACTTCCATTTGATTTATTAATAAAAGATATTTTAGATATTTAAAGCAAAGTATTTGTAATGATCCATAATGCATTTACATTTTGGATCATTAAAAATACTTTGCTTTAAAAGTACCAAGTCCTCAGACAGTAGGAAGACAGAAATCATGTATAGAGAAAAAAGATGCATCGAGATGCATCGATAATCGTTTTACAATCGCATCGCAGCCCTCTGAATCGTAATGGAATCGAATCGTGAGGTGCCTAAAGATTCCCACCCCTAGTCTGTGTGATTTGCATTCTATTTTATTTACATTCTGCACAGCGTCCCAACTTTTTTGGAAATGGAATTGTATTTAGTAGGGAAGGATCCATGCTACTCTTTTGCAGCAGGGGCTTCACCAGAACAGTTTCAAAAGCATCTGGAAAAGCACCTGGTGACAGAGAACAGTTTACAGTAGTTAAGACATCATTTTGAACACAAGCAAAAAACATCTTAAATAATGGAATAGGAATAGGGTCAAGATCACTATGACCAATTACTCAGCAGATTTAAACAGGCTGATTGTGTTGCCAGCAAGACATTAGGTCTTAATTGATAAGTGCAACTGATTCAGTGGCCTTCAGTGTCCAGGTTAATTAGTCTCCACATCCCCTGCATAATCATATTTTAAATTACTTTTCTTGCACTATAAATAAATGCATATATCTCTATACACTACTGTTTGAAAGTTTGGTACCACTTTTTCCATTATTAATTAATTTTATTCAATAATAATGAAATACAATATCTAGACACCAGAAGGTATTCTAAAATATTTTATTTAATAGTTCAATAGTTTTTTTTTTTTTTTAGGAATACCAATAAGTTATTAAATGATAGATACTGTAAATATTTGTAATAATTTCTTGGGAAGTTATTTGCCTTGAGATTTATTCCCCATTATGTTATTTTAGCTTTGCCTTTTTACCATTGGTCACCTGTGTGTAGTCTGTAACAACTCCTTGTAATCATTATTGCCAGCTGTTCATGGTTCCATGTCTTTGTGTATATGCCTTGGTTTGCTCTGTTTCTATGCTCTGCACTGTTTGGTGTTGACTTGTATGTTGTTAGATCTGTTGGTTTTTGTTTTCCCATTTTCATAGATGTCTGTTTTTCTTCAGTTTCTCTTTGTGCTCAGGTGTTAGTGTTTCCTGGACTTTAGATTTCTCCTAGAAAATATATATCATATTTGCCATTTCTAATGAAGATTCCTGCTTTTCTTGTTACTGCTTGCCACTTCAGTATCTTTGTCAGCTTGGACTACTAATAATTTCAGAATTTACCACAGTAGATAGCTATTTTACTCTACATTATTCATCTGAGCGGCTCAGAGGAACAGAAAGAATAAAAATCCTGTCAGTAGAGGAAAAGACATTATGATTTTTTGCTAAATAATT